AGATGCAGGTTTTACGTTTGCAAACGCACATGTCAACACTACCCATGAACTCTCAGTTGTAATGTCAATTGATTTCTCTAAGACAGTCAATGAAGTCCACCCAAGCTTGAATGATCACTCCTCTGCTCATTCCAAGATCTCTCAAGTTTTACATTTGACTTACCATTTGGCTCTCATTCTGACTGTCTAATTTGTTAATTTGGCATCTGCATATTTGTTAAAATCATTGTATGTGAAGTAATTAGGTGATGACATAACTAGATATTTGCTACATTTGTAAAATCAACTCCTGTTTTTGCCTTTCCCCCATCAAGTTGAAACCATGGTTGATTGTCTTACTGCCCCATGGTACAACAGCTACAAGAATCATTACATGGAATTCAACAAGTAATTTTTTAATGCGTAATTTCTGATTTAATAAAATCTTTGCTCCTTGAAACCAATAAAGAAAAAGTTATGTTGGTTAAAAAATTCCTAAGCTCCTCTGGTTTTTGTGGATCAATTGAATTGGTATGAGTAAATGAAATTTTGTCAGAAAATATTCCTAAATAGTTGAGATGACAAATGATAATGAAAGCAAACACTATTTTGGCATTTGTACTTAGTGTCTTCAGAATTGGAGCATGAGTATCTGGTTTTTTATTTGGCACCATATGGATTCAATTGTTAGACTTATAATATGAATTCAATGTTATTATCTCCCTTGTTTCACTTGTATATGTTTAGCTAGTACTAGAATAGTTTATGTGAGGTGGATGGGGTAAGAATTATGGTCTAAGCTTTAGATAAGCTAACTTTTCTAAGCAGCTGCTTTTTCTTAGTTGTGATTGTGTGGCTACTTTTTCCCCAGTTGGGCTAAGTCCTTGCCTTGTCTATTGTAACGATCTGCTAAAGTGATGTAACTTTGGAAGTTATGGTAAGATTTTCTTCAATTCTATTGACGTAGGAGTTGTTTATTTCAGGTCCTGGCTCTTAAAGGATCTTATCATGGTGTTATACAGGATTCCTCCAACAACCATGGTATGAATTTTCTGTCACATGATACTTGAAATATTCCAAATCTGTATACTTATATCTCAACTTTTGGAGTTAATCAGCATCCAATAGAGAATATAGTACTCTTTTACTCTAGGTTTTCATTATTCTATTGATTTATGATTCTCATTATTTCAAGTTAAGTCATTATATTAGGTAGCACTATATTAATAATCCTTTCATTATTGGTAATGTTATTTGGATTGTATATCTCACTACTAAATTAATTTGGCTTGTTAAGCAGTTTCCTAGGCCATAGAAGTGATTCTAACGAAGCTACTCCTAGTGGTAAAAGTTGAAGAATGCAAAGGAAAATTGGTGATGATGAATGTATAGCTCTGTATACATATGGATAACTTGACTTGAAGGATAATTAAGTATAGGAATTTTGGTGTATTTATTGTAATTAGGCTTGCAGCTTGTAGCTAGTAGCCCTAGAGTACTTTCATTTTTTAGATTTTATTTTGTTCTATTGTACTCTTGATATTCTATTTATGAAAGAAACAATTTTTGAGTATATATATGTATGGCGTGGGTAATAGCATATTTGAGTATATATTTCTGATACCATTGGAAACAACAACAAAAAAACTAAAATGTAAAATTACGTCAGTTTTATAGTTAATAACCGTTGTCTTAGAGTTAATAGAAGATAAACCGTCATTTAATAGATGACGGTTTTTTAAACAAACCTGATGTCTTTGGATATAATAAAAGAAATGATGTCCACTACATATACAGACGACGGTTCTTTCCAAAAAACTGTCGTCTTTACATCTAATAGACGAGGTTCTTTCAGAAAAACTGTCGTCTTTGCATCTAACAGACAACGGTTCTTTTAAACCGTCGTCTTTAGATTCAATAGACAATGGTTAATTACCGTTGTAGTTTGACATTCAAAAAGATGGCAGTCAATTTAACGACAGTTTTAAAAATAAATAAATAAAAAAATGACGGTGTTTCCCGTCATCTATTTCAATTTTTGTAGTAGTGTCACTGGCATTGAATTCCCCATTGGACTCGCCAATGAATCAAGACTCACCAATCCAAGAGGATCCAAGGCCTATTTGGAGAAAGGCGACAAAGGGCAAGAGAGGAAGCATTTTGAACTATGATTGTGCAAAATTTTTGGAGCAAATTGCTATCAATGACACACTAAGAATTGAGAAAGACATGAAAAGAGATGAGGCTGACAAGGCAAGAGATGAAGCATTTGCAAGAGAAAGGGAGTATGCATATAAACAAGACATGGACAATAAAGATCGAGAAACCATGGCCGAGGATATAAGCCATATGTCCCATGAAACAAAGTCATTTTGGAAGCAAGAACGAAGGGATGTTATGAGAAATATGAGAAAAATGCTTTTCCTTGACGTTGGACCTAGCAACAAGACTTAGTTAAATGATGAAAACCATTAGGTTGTATTGATAGAGTTGCTATTTCTTAATTAGTTGTATTGCTCTTTTATTGAATTAGTTGTATTTCTTAATTAGTTATATTGCTTGTCTTTTATTGAATAAAGAAAGCATTCAATAATATAGCTATTTATTTAAAAACATTGCCTACATCAAAATAAAACATAATTCATTACAAAACACAAACAAAACATAATTCAAAACAAAACACAAAAAAAACATAATTCAAAACTAAGCATTAAACTTGACTTTATTGACCGTGATTGTCTCTCAGAGCCCATAAGTGCTCCATCAAGTCAACTTGATGTGTTTCGTGAACACAAGAAGATTGCATTATTGTGTAACGGTTAATCATACGATTGTCATAATGACTGTCCCTAATCAACGGTTAGTGCTCCAGTGGTTGTCCATTTTTCCCACAGGCCGTTCATAAATTCTTGTCAATGTCGTGTTCATCGGATCGGGTTCGAACATCTCTTGTTCATCATAATCATACTCATCATCCACAATCATGTTATGGAGGATGATGCATGTCATCATAATGCTCCGAAGCATCTCTTCATCAAACATACAAGTAACCTCCCTAATGATTGCCCACCGAGCTTGGAGGATACCAAAACATCTTTCCACATCTTTCCTATAACCCTCTTGATAGGCTGTAAAGTATTTTTCGTTCTCCGATTGGGGATGAAAAATTATTTTGATGAATGTTGTCCACCTCGAGTAAATTTTGTCTACTAGGTAGTAGCCACCTAAGTAGATGGTATTGTTGATTTCATACGTAATATGAGGGGATTGACCTCTCAACACATCGTTGAACACCGGGAATTGACTGAGCACGTTAAGGTCTTTTTTGAGATCCCGCAACTCCGAAAAAGGCATGTCAAACCTAGGTATCGAATGATGCAACAACTTCCAGAATGATACTTTTTTGGCCCTTCCTATTCTCATAATATCCATGTCAGGCAGTTGGACAATTCTTCCACTGCTAGTGCATGCAGTCGATGCTTCCAATCATGCTTGGGAAACCTCGAGCCTCGACTTTTTGTAGAAGCCTTTGGAGGTCCCTAGACATAGGTTTGCGAAGGTAATCCCTAGTGTAGATAGTTTCGATTGCATCACATAATCTTACCAAGCTCTCTAGGATAGTAGATTTCCTCATCCTAGCAGTCTCATCCACCTGGTCTGCAGATGTACCAAACGCCAGCATCTGTAAGAAGCTGTAAGTTTTTGCTCTAGAAGAATACCCAAAACCTGAGTAGCATCATACTTCTAAACGAAGTATGTGTTGCAATTGCAAACATTATGCATGTTTTTATTGAACAAATGGGGTTGCATTCTATATCACCCTAAAAAAATCAAAATTAGAGTACAACGAATTTGGGATAAAGTAATCTTCCAAGAGATTCTTACCTAGAGTGCCTACGTTTGTCCATGTTCGGGTCACGGTCGGGTTGTGAACCATGGTGGCGTTGGCTTGATTGATCGAGCATACCCACTGCCATGGCACTTGATCATCATCTACTTGCCACTCCTTTTCTTCTTCAACATGTTTAAGCATTCTTTCTTCATTTTCTTGCTCGGCCCTCTCCAACAACCTCCTCATGTAAGACATTGAAAGTAGAATGTGTTTTGTAAATATGAGAAATGAAAGGATAGAGAGGATATGGATGATTACTGTCAATTGTAGCAACTAAAAATCTTATTCGAAATCTGAAATGTGAATTTTATAATAAATATGGACACGTAACAACTGAAATCCTTATCCGAATTAATCGTTAAGTATAAAGAATAAAATAAATTTAAAGTGAATAATAATTGCCATTTGCCATAGTAATGGGTGGAAACCCAACTAGCATTTTGCAAGGACTCGCACTATTCACATAAATAGTAACAGCCCTTTCCTTTTACCATGGCAAATTGGTAGAAATGCTAGTAAAAAGTATTAAAAAAACAAAAGGGAAGTGGGAAAATCAACACTCTTTTTACTCTAATACCACCTATCTTAGAGTATCAGACAGTGTCTCCTTAGAGCAATTCCACCGCACCACCCAGCTCGAGCATGAAGGGACCTAGGCCCTTCAAGTTGTTTCTAGCGATACAAAATAGCCTAGGCAAGGTGTGGGCTCCACCAATCCTTGGCAGGCCTGAAGGCAAGAACAACTCGAGCTGTTACCTGAGGTCTATGACGTCAGCAATGAAAACAAATTTAGAAAAATAGAAATAAATTCTGAAAAAAAATAATAACAATTTCAGAATTTTTTTATTTTTATAAATACCTAGCCATATTCTTCACTTTCCATACCAAAACTCTATACAAATTCCTCTCGTGATATCTCATGTGAATACCCTTGGGTTGTCATGGCAATGAGTGAAAAACCAACAAAAAAATTGATATGACAAGCACTATTCATATGAATAGTAACAACACTTACCTCCCCTTACCTTTTGTCATGATAAATGAGTGAAAATGTTCTTATCGTTCCTACCTCTTTAATGCAAGAGGTATTTTAGAATAAAATTTGTGAAAAAAGAGCTATTTTAGCCAATTTCACCGGAAGGAAAAAACAACCCCAAAATTATAAAACCGAACAGAGGGTTTTTTAATCTTTTGGCTGTCAGAAGAAACTTCTTTTTTCTCTTTGGTCGAATCTCTCTGATACTTCAGTCCTGAACTCTCTGAAACACCACCACCATCACAGGCACAGAGAGAGAAGAAGAAGAAGAGAATGACCACAGCTGCTTTCAACTTAGCTCTAAGAAACCCGTCGACTTTCATTCTTCCAAAGTCTCCAAACCCTACAAAGCTTAGGGTTTGCACTCTCAGATGCTCCTCCGCCACCGCAAACGTGGTCCCAGGTACTGCGAGTACTCTTTCATTTCCCTCATTTCAATTGTTGTTCTTGGTTATGCCAACTGTTCCAGCCCATTAGTGTGCCTCAGGGTTGAAATGTTCTTTATCTGAATTTTTTTTAATTTTTTAAAGATTATATTTAATGCACTGACAGTTAATTTCACAGTAATTGTATTGAAGGGCAAGTAGATTGGGTGCCATGGAAATTTTAATTGAAAATAAATATACAAAATGATGGTTTTGTTTGGTTAAACAATCCACAATTCAGCTATGTAATTCTTGTTCTTATGTTCAGAAAACATGTTTTGGATGAATAAACAATCAGTTGAACTGCAAATTTCGGCATCATATGTGTTGCACATTAGGATTTTTTACATTCTATGTAGAAGTTTCAAGAGTTTATAATGTTAGATGTTGTTAGTTCCTTACTAATACGGGGTTAATATTGCAATGTTTTTTTTAATCTTTAATACCGAACTTTCTCCCTTCCCATTTGTATTTTTCATCGTTGTTCCACAAGAAAATCTTAGCATGCTAGACCCTTATACTTTGATATCTACACTTCATATTATTTTTTATGATTTAGGTTTGTCAGAGAGACCTTGGAAGACTTCAGATGCTAGACTTGTGCTTGAAGATGGTTCAATCTGGAGAGCAAAGTCATTTGGTGCTTCAGGAACCCAAGTTGGTGAAGTTGTATTCAACACATCCTTGACCGGGTAAGATGACTTAATGGTGCATTTCCAGGAATTTATCTTAACATGTCAACTATCTTGTCACTTTCTTTCTTGTGGGATTTAGCTGCTATAATACAAGGGGTTTCTCAACCTTTCACCATGGACCCTCCTATATTGACTTGAGCAGTATATTTACTTGCACGAGTATTTCCTAGTCTTTTTGAAAGCTATTGCAATGTTAAGTTATTCCAGCAATTACTTCCCTACTATGGTATCATTTCTTTTTCCTGATTTAGTTGATTCATTGCTAAAGACCAAAAAAAGACGGAATTTGAGTCATTACCATGGTGCCGATCTTCATAATTTTATAGTCGAGTGCTCAGGCCTGTGGTTTTCCCCCACGTGGTCTGGGGTTTGATTCATCAAGATAGCCTAGGTATTTGCTAGAGTTTCCTGCCTCCCAATGATTGTTGGGTTCCGCATGAGGCCCCAGTTTTGAGTTCAAATGAGCAAAGTGGGTTGGTGGGATTTCTGAGTATATATAAATAAATAATAGATATTTGTGTGCCCAAGGGTATAGGAATATGGAGAGGTTGATTTTACATGTTGTGGCATGTTTTGATTTCTCAGACTAGTTGATTTATTCCTTCCTAGGTGCAACATAGACGGAATCTGAGTGATTATTGAGGAGCTGGTGTTGATAGAGCAGCTTATGTTTTCCTTTATACATGTAGATATATTTTGAATTTTTTTTAATAAATTTTTTCAACCAACAGTAATAGTTGACTCCCAACTATTCTATGGGCCAACAAACATGCATGATTTCCCCGTATTGGTAGAAGAGATATATAGGCTCCATGTCTTCTTAACTGGATGGCATTGCCTTTTAATTTCTTCCTACTACATGCACATACCAGGCACTCAATCCTGAAACACACCCACCACACTTGTTGTTAAGGGAAAGGAGGGTGTTGTTAGGCCCATAGACCATTGGCTAGCAATTGTTGTTCAAATGAGTCAAACTAAGTGCCAAGTACCTTCCTGCACATTACATAGTTGTGAAATGTTCTTTCCTACAAGCCATGGTTTCTCCACCTCAAAATGTGTGAATATGTTAACTTGCATGGATACTGTCTATTAGTCAAATTACTACATAAGTCAGTCACTAAATGTTTGAGTAATTATTGAGTCGTCTGAGTACAAGCTGACCAACTTATTGAAATATTATACATCTCCTGTCTTTCTTCCATCTGAAAGTGAAGATGATAAATATTGTTATTTTGTTACATTGGAGGGAATAAAACCCTTGCCCTGTCCAAATCCTAACTCATTATCCACCCACCACTTGGGCTAACCCCAAGGGCTTGAAGATAATCACACTTTGGGTAAAGAAGATCAAGTGCTTGCATGAATGGAAGTAGTTACCACGGCTTTGGTTGGGTTGAATGTTTCTAGAGTTGCTAAGAACATACATGGAGTCTGATATATGGGCATTCCACATTTATATGCAGGTATCAGGAAATTCTTACAGACCCTAGTTATGCTGGTCAATTTGTCCTGATGACAAACCCGCATATTGGAAATACTGGCGTGAATTTTGGTAGGTTGGTTTTTCCTCTGTCTTAAAAATTTTGTAGACTTGGATATGTGAATTCTCATATTGATGGGTTCCCTTTCAGATGATGAAGAATCAAAGCAATGCTTCCTTGGTGGTCTAGTGATCAGGAGTTTAAGCATCAGGTATGCTTCCTTTTGCTAACTTTTCTGATTAGCTCTGCTCACTTTTTTCAGTAAATTGGTTTTGTTTATTGTGTTGCATGTTTTGCAGTACTTCAAATTGGAGATGTGCAGAAACACTTGGTGATTATTTAGCCGAAAGGAATATCATGGGAATTTGTAAGTTAAACCAGGCTGTAATCTTTTTCTGAATCATGTTAATTGGTGTGATATGCTTTATCTGTGCAACTTCTGACTTTTTCTTTTGATGCTGGCTGATTATATAACAGATGATGTTGACACACGTGCTATCACCCGCAGATTAAGACAAGATGGAAGCCTTGTTGGTGTTTTGAGCACAGAAGAGTCGAAAACAGATGAGGAATTATTAGAAATGTCTCGTTTGTGGGATATTGTTGGTAAGGATCTCATGGAGTTAGTTAAAGAAGTTGGTAAATATTGCACAGCTAATGGCTCATGAATTTAATTTAATTTTGCAGGGGTCGATTTAATAAGTGGTGTGTCATGCAAGGAACCTTATGAATGGGTGGATAAAACAAATTCAGAGTGGGAATTTAACTACAGTGGAAGAGATGGAGAGGCTTTTCATGTAAGTTCTCATAAAGTTCTATTTGAATTTTGAATTACTAAATTGTTGCCCCGATGTTGCCATGTTGGTAGTTTGGTCTTAATTTACTCTTTTTCTGTGTATGGATTGAAGGTTGTTGCATATGATTTTGGAATCAAACATAACATACTTAGGCGCTTGGCTTCCCATGGCTGTAAAATTACTGTTGTGCCTTCAACATGGCCAGCATCAGAGATTCTTAAGAGGAAACCAGATGGGGTTCTTTTCAGCAATGGCCCTGGAGACCCGTCTGCTGTTCCGTATGCTGTTGAAACAGTCAAGGAGATACTTGGAAAGGTTCCTGTTTTTGGAATTTGCATGGGTCATCAATTGCTTGGCCAGGCATTAGGTGGTAAAACATTTAAAATGAAGTTTGGTCACCATGGAGGAAATCATCCAGTACGTAACCTTCATAGTGGACATGTTGAGATCAGTGCTCAGGTAACTAAATCACATAAGTTTCTTTTAAATAGAATGTGACAATATTTGAGTACTGTTATATTTGAATAAATTTGAAAGAACTCAATTGGCATCTTGAAGTAAGCATGCCAAGTGATAGGTAATACTGTATATTGTGTCTTAAGCTTGTTGTGCTAGAATTTGTTTTCCTTTTTTCTTTTTTTTTTGTAGTTAATCATATGAGTTACATCTATGAATTCAAAAACTTTTTCTGCATTTTCTTTTGTGGCAGAACCACAACTATGCAGTTGACCCTGCATCACTTCCAGAAGGTGTAGAAGTCACTCATGTCAATCTCAATGACGGAAGCTGTGCTGGTCTTGCCTATCCTGCACAAAACATCATGTCTCTTCAATACCACCCTGAAGCATCCCCAGGACCTCGTGATTCAGATTATGGTAATGTGAATTATGTTTCTATTTTACAATTATCAAATACACTGGTGCAAGGAAGGTAGAGCTCATAGCATGTGATTTTTTGCCTCATCTTCTTCGTTGCTAATTTTCTTGCCCTACACACCCTTTTCCATTTCTTTCTGATGGTGCATGCATACTGTATTGACATTAAGAAACCGGTATTGATTAACGGAACTTTTTACTGCAGCTTTTGGGGAATTCATAAATCTGATGAAGAAAGTGAAAGTAAATGCATGAAGGCTATGCCCCAACTTTATTGATGGATGACATGCCTAAGGTAGCGAGGGCTCGAACGGTAGTTCAATAATCGATCTACTGCTCTTATCTATTTGTTTTGCGGGTGCGGTTTCAGGTGCAGAAAACTAGTGAGGAGTGTGCTTCCCACCTTTTTCATTTTGTAGCATCGTGATTTTGCTAGTGGTTGTGAAGTAAAAAAGATTTACGTTGCTTAGACACCCAGTGAAATTTATAAAACAGCATTCCTCACTTGGAGTTGTATAATTATTACCCAATTGGTTTTGTTTTGTTTGCTTTCTTACGCGAATTGGGGTTAAATATAATGGTTATTCTATAGATGATCGCACACACATCTATGAAAATAAGTTCATGCATTGACTGCAACCATCCAACTTATCAGAACTGTCCTTCAGTAATTGTCCATCCGCCATACTATTATGTTTACAGTACATCAACCTAAAAAGAGAACCCCAAACTGTGAACATCTCCCCAAGACATGAGCTCTCCCAACCTGTCAAGTCTCCGGTTGTGGACGGTGAAAGCATTGGAGAGAGTAGGCCTGAGATTGTATGACTTTGCGAGCGTGCCACTATTAGTAGTGTAAAACCCTAATAAGCTTGAATAAGAATTAACTTGCACACCAAGAAACTGACTTTGATCAAACAATTTCGAATTGAATGGGAAAACTAGTTCCATTTAGTTCTTTTTCATGACTCAAGACAAATGATGCACTATAGTCAAGCAATGATAACAGTCGAGAAATAATGTCATAACTTGCACTATGGTCAAGCACAACGCCTTCAATTGATGCAAATCAATTGGAAATTGATACGAGAGATAGATCTAGCAGAGAAATTATCAATAAACTGGCTAGCCTTGAGAAAGGGATTAGGATTTGTATCGAGTTGATTGTTGAAAATTTGTGTCTTTGGCATTAGCTATCTCCTCCCTTTCACATGATTTTTACCCTATCAAGAGAGATCATAGTCTATTAGGTCACGCCTTTGTGAAGATCAGATCGTAATCTTTTAAAATCAATTATCTAATTGATTTGCGCCAAAAATGAGCATGAATTATCCTTGATTTCCTAGGTAATTATTAATTAATAGATAATTCTAGCCATTTAAAATAGCCCAAGGAATCCATCCACTTCAAATAACGAAAACCCAAGCCACGACTTGGCCCAAATGGGCATTAATTTAAGATGTAAAAATCAGGCCCCAACAAGAGCACACAACAAATTTTACAGATCATACACGTGAGAGATACCATCAAGAAAAAAATATGAAATTCCAATATTCAGCACGAAACTACCTAAAATTTTAAGAATTTTTAGTTAAGATTGGGGAGGGGGGAACATTTCAGCTCACACAACAAATTTTAGAGGGCACGCACCTGAGAGATACCGCTAAGAGAAAATACTAAATTTTAACATTTAGCACGAAGCAATTTAAAATTTTAAGGATTTTTAGTTAAGAAGGGGGAAGGGAGAAACTCACACACACAAATACCATGGAGGCTTACCCTATGACCACCTGAGAGAGCATACCAAAAATCAGAGTCAATCCAACTAAACACTGTACCAGGGTGGAGAGTAAAAAATTATTGAACCATATCTCATTTGGAGGCTCCAAAGAGACGATTTTATGTTCCATTAGTTACGAATAGCTTTTTCATCAACTTGTGTTATTTTTTCTGCCTTTAATGGTTGAGGTTCACTTTGTTAAAGTGATAGTAGGTTTAAGAAACATAACATCTGAGGGTGTAGTCAGAAAATAAATTTTAATTTAAAAAATTCTTTGGCCTCACAAAAGTCAGTTCATGTTAGGTTGAGCCAGACTTCTCACGTTAAAAGTTCGAGGAGAGGTGGCATTAAAATTTCTCAATTTCTTATTTGAAATCCTCAACTGAAATGAAATCCATACAATTAATTTGTTTTGCTAAAAATAGGACATAATATTTGATATTCAAATCCAAATACAAATGGCCGTTACAATTTCTTCACTTTTATTTAGGATCTTGATGCCAACACCGTGCCCTCCTCCAAAACAAGTTTTTCACTTCATCCACTCTAAATCTAAACCCCAACACACAAAAATTATTCCATTTCTGATACCTATCATCACTACATAAACTCCCATACAAAATTTTATACCCAAAAATATAGGTACCGTAGAGATCGCCATACTCTGATTCTTTGATTCGCGGAAGCGATCATGCATCGAGTTTGTAAAGGAAGTATAGTACAGATTCAAATTTCATTGAGGTTAACTCATAAAGGAAGTTAACGTTCCATTCTAAAACCAAGCTCGAAAAGGAGGATTCTTTTGGGAACTGAGAAGTTAGCCGGTCATGTTCACGGAATAAATGCCTCTGTTCCAATCTCATCTTCTTTTTGATATTTTCTTTTTTTCTTTGTATTTGTTAGAATATTTGAGTGGTAGGTAGACACAAGTAGTTTCAAAGTGAAGTATGCATAAAGACAAAATTACAAAAAATTAAGAAATAAAACCCTTGGCAGGTCTCGCATACAATTGGCAAATGGCAAGCCCATCCATTCGTTTGAGGCCAAGGATTCCTTGACAAAATAAAACCCTGACCACGAACAAAAACAAAACGCCAACACACCTCAAAAGAACCAATTCAAAGCACAGAAGAGCCAAGATTCCTCTCAAGCTTTCAAGCCAGTATTTAAATATAATTTCCATAGCAGTTTATGACCACAAACTGACACTACCATAAAATTTCAGATACAATAAAGCTATTAATATTAATGTTCTCAGGAAAAAAGACCGTCAAATATAGAACAAAAGGGAAATAAAAAGGAAAAAGGAAAAAGGAAAAAAAAAATTGAAAAAGCATCCCAATCACTCTCCTGCTACAAACATCCTACTGAAAGAGATGGTTGAACCAAAGATTAGGTAAGGCGAGGATGGATTTCGACTGATTTTCTGCCCACCACATATACAGAACACCATTGCCATTGCAAGCAAAGCCTCTCACATGGATGAAAAGCTATGATACATCAACATCAGAATCTACTCCGTCCTTCACTGACCCCACCTCAACGCATATCGTTGCCAACCAAACTGACTTCACATGACACGACACGAAAATCCAACTAAATTGAAAAATAACTCACCATCAAAACATTTGTAGAACTCAGAAGCACTTCCTGTGGACAATGGATGGACCAGACTCATCGTACTCACCCTTGGAAATCCACATCTAATTAGAAAAGAAACAAAAGCATATCAGTCTCAAGCAAAAACTATATATAGCATAGGAATAAAAAAAAAATGAAGGAAAGGAAATCATAAACAAGCAAGAGATACAACAATGATGATCACCTGCTGGAAGGTACTGAGAGATGCAAGGATGGACCCTCCAATCCAGACACTGTACTTTCTCTCTGGTGGAGCCACAACCTTAATCTTCATGCTGCTAGGAGCAAGAGCAGTAATCTCCTTGCTCATCCTGTCTGCAATACCGGGGAACATAGTTGACCCACCACTGAGCACAATGTTTCCATATAGGTCTTTCCTAATATCCACATCACACTTCATGATAGAGTTGTAGGTAGTCTCATGAATTCCAGCAGCTTCCATTCCAATGAGTGATGGTTGGAAGAGAACTTCTGGGCACCGGAATCTCTCAGCTCCAATTGTGATTACTTGGCCATCGGGAAGCTCATAGTTCTTCTCTACCGAAGAGCTGCTCTTAGCAGTCTCAAGTTCTTGCTCATAGTCCAGGGCAACATATGCGAGCTTCTCCTTCATATCACGGACAATTTCCCGCTCAGCAGTGGTGGTGAACATGTACCCTCTTTCGGTGAGAATCTTCATCAAGGCATCTGTAAGGTCACGACCAGCAAGGTCCAGACGAAGAATGGCATGAGGGAGGGCATAACCTTCATAGATTGGCACAGTGTGACTCACACCATCACCAGAGTCCAGCACAATACCTGTACAACGGGAAGCTCATTCAATGCCAGAACAATAATAATAAGATATCAAGATTCAGACTCAGCAAATAGTTGATACGAACCAGTTGTACGACCACTGGCATACAGAGAGAGAACGGCCTGGATGGCAACATACATGGCAGGCACATTGAAGGTCTCAAACATGATCTGCGTCATCTTTTCTCTGTTAGCCTTAGGGTTGAGAGGAGCCTCAGTAAGAAGAACTGGGTGCTCTTCAGGAGCAACACGAAGCTCATTGTAGAAAGTGTGATGCCAGATCTTCTCCATGTCATCCCAGTTGCTTACTATACCATGTTCAATGGGATATTTCAAGGTAAGGATACCTCTCTTAGATTGGGCTTCATCACCTACATAGGCATCCTTCTGACCCATACCAACCATAACACCAGTGTGTCGTGGTCGACCAACAATAGAAGGAAACACAGCCCTGGGTGCATCGTCACCAGCAAATCCAGCCTGCATAATTAGTGTAGTATATGACAACGGTTTAATTAAAGCTTCAATTAAACTTCAATGCATAAAGAACACAAAAGAGGCAAATAAATGACACTTACCTTCACCATTCCAGTTCCATTGTCACAGACAAGGGGTTGAATGTCCTCAGCATCAGCCATCTTTTACAAACCTGAAACCAAGACATACAGAATTAATACAACAAAAATATACTACATGAGTGAAACCATATCAGTGATCAAAATGCCATGCCATGTTCACTATCAAATATCTTGTCAGTGAATTTAGTTCGTGTATAACAAAAAGGTAATCAGTCTCATTATTCCTTTGTGCATTATAAGTCTCTTACATTTTCATTCATAAAGAATCACCTTAAAAAACCTCATGCACACTACTCCTACAATATGTTATTCAATTCAATACACAACACACACTGATGAATACTGCCTAAAGTTTTAGATCCCATTCATCATAACCAGCCAAAAGCAAACAAGACAAAATCAAACCATCACTACTATAAATAAAAAAGATTTTTTTTCCATATTATCCCGATGGCTTAGATAGATTGCTACTACAATGCTCAATCAGCAAAATAAACATCTTTTTTTTTTTTTTTTTCAAAACAGCTCACTCCAATACCTACTTCAAACACACTGTTTATCCTGGGTTTTTATTTTTCACAGGCAATGAAAAAGGCTTGCATGAGACTTAAATCTCAACCATCAGAGTTCAAATTCAATGCTTTCACTGAATATATGAACAAATCAAAGCATATCAAATTCCAACTAATTAAGATATACAGATCTAAAAGAAAAGAAAAACAGAGATATGCAAAACAAAGCAGATCACTAGCATTAGATCCAAAGAAGAGAGCACCAGATCAAACTTCAAAACCACC